AAAACAGAAGGGGTCTGAAAACGGACCCCTAGGGAACACCGGATGTAACAGGACTAAGGCAAGAATTTTCTTCCTTTGTAGTAACAAACAGTAATCGATTACGTAGAAAACATTTCATCGAGGGGAAAACTTTAGAACCAATATTAGGTTTATCAAACTTAAAGAGCAATAGCTCGTGAGATACTTTGTCAAAGGCTTTGCAAAAGTCGAAAAAGAAGCATTCAACCTGAGATCCATGGTCAAGCATGAAGAAAAGATCATTAGTGAAAGTAAGAAACTGAGTTTCGCTGGACAGCGATTTCCGAAAACCATTATGCAAGGGTGAAAAAAAAAAACACAACTAATTAGATTAGGATAAATTATGTGCTCTAAAATGTTACAGGGTATGCTGGTTAAGGAAATGGGTCGATAATTAAGAGGGCTATATTTGTTACCTGATTTATGAAGCGCGGAACCACCTTTCCTATTTTCCAATTGTTTGGTAAAATGAGTGATTGTTCAGAAATGTTTAGAAGAAAAATTGAAATGTAATTTTGTAAGTAATTTAGAGCTTAGGTTATCAACACCACACGACGAGTACATTTTTAGATAATAGATTAGTTTAACACTCCCGTCATAATCAAAAACAAGCGAATCCACTTGAAGGAAATTGTAAACAGGATTAAGTAGTGCAAGCAGATTCAACATCACTAGAAAACGCTTTCACAAAAATATCATTTAGTACAGATGCACAGTGATCGCTTGGAATATCTGCAGCGTTATCCCCTGTTACTGAGATAATAGTATTTTGCGGCCGTTCACAACATTCCAAAGTTGCTTAGTTCTATTAGATAACATTGAAGGTAAGGTTAAATTTAAGGAAAATTGTTTTGGCCTCTTTCACAGCTGTCTTATAAGTATCCGTAACTTCTTAGTAAGCATCCCAACGAGCAGCGAGAACGGATGACTTTGCAGCGCGAAAAAAACAAAACAAAAACGCTTCTTCTTGTTAGAAAGACGTTTCAGTGCGACATTAAACCAAGGAGATTCGGGTTTAGAAACAAAGTACCTACGCGGGATGAATGATGTAATTAGGGAGCTTATTTTATTTTTAAACAAATTCTAATGATTTTCAACCGGATGCTCTTAAAAAGAAAGCAGGAACTTATCCAGGAAGGCGGGTAACTCTAATATGTTGAAATTTGCCCACTATAATCACGGAATTGCTTAGTAGTGCGATTCCAGACACACATTGGAGTATAGACCCTTTCAGGCAACATTTCATGGGCGCCGCCATCTTGACGTCACGTGACCCTGCCGCCATAGCCGCCCTTCAGTTTCTCGCCGTTCCTCCGCGTTGTGTCCTGCACCGGCCACTACCGGAGCTTTGTTTTCGCGTTCTTTTACGTTCCGCGTTGAAATTGCGTGTTTTCTCTAGGTCTTTTAGATATTTCGGGCTTTTATTTAATCATTTGGTATCCATATTTCAACATAGCTCTTGTATTTTCTTATTCATGAAATAGAATGGAACAGCGAATGGATCGACGATACAAGATTATGGCTTCAGAGACCATGTAAGTTCATCCCATTCAAACGTTTTTTTCGCTAATAAAGGGCAGTCAACACCATTGCGACATATGCAACTTTCAACTGACTATCCAGTCGTGCTTCTCGCTGCATGTGCGCGCTCGTTTCCGTAAAGCCGACCCGCATGTAAGCGATTTAGCGTGCGACGAGACGAGCGATGGCGACAACGACGAGAGTCAGCGACGAAGATTTCTCACTGTCGCCTGTTGCATCGCTGGGTTTTTCGGATTTCTAGAAAACGTCGCTCACCGTCTTGGTCGCCTGCTCCCGTCGCTTCCATGCGGTTTGCCTCGTCGCGCGACTGCCCGAGCGAAAGCGAAGTGGGTCACCGTCGCTTGTCTTGTTGCTCGCCGAATCGCTCGCATGCGGTTTATACTTAATATCGAGGCGCCAATGGTTCAATGGTGTGTGCATGGAAATTAATTGAATATAAACCGCATGTAAGCGATTTGGCAAGCGACCAGATAAGCGAGGGCGACTCGCTTCGCTCTCGCTTCGCTCTCGCTCAGTCAGTCGCGCGACGAGGCAAACTGCATGGAAGCGACGGTGCAAGCGACGAAGACGGTTAGCGACGTTTTCTAGAAATCCCAAAACCGAGCGATGCGACGGGCGACGGTGTGAAATCTCCGTCGCTCGTCTCGTCGCACGCTAAATCGCTTACATGCGGGTCGGCTTTACGGAAACGAGCGCGCACATGCAGGAGAAGCAAGACTGTGATAGCCTTACTGCGTCAGTTGCAATTTACACATGTCGCAATAGTGTTGACTCCCCTTTATTTTCGACAAAAACGTAAGAATGGGATGAACTTACATGGTCATTGAAGCCTCATAATCTTGTATCGTCGACCCATTCGCTGTCCGCTTCCATTCCATAAATAAGAAAATACAAGAGCTATGTCGAAATATAAATATCAAATGATTAAATGAAAGTCCTAGATATGGAAAAGGCCTAAAGCAAATACAAGATTTTAACGCGCAACGTAAAAGAACACGAAAAATAAGCTCCGGTAGTGGCATGTGCAGCACACAACGCGGAGCAACGGCGAGAAACTGAAGGTCGGCTATGGCGGCCCGGAAAGCGCGCGAAGGGCGCGCCGACTGGTGGCAGCTCCAGTAACTGACTCGCTGAAAGCGTCTATACAAGATGAAGTGCAGAATGCTATGACCGCTAATTTCTAGTTAAGAGGTTTATGGAAGAGGCGAGGCTAGGATCAGTGGAAAGAAATCCAACACATTGGCTGTAGTATCGGTAATCGGAGTTGGTTTACTAACAAGTTCTGAAAAAGAAAATCCAGAACCAGCGGCGTAGACTTTCCATTTTCCCGGGGGGGGGGGGGGGGGGGAGGGAGGGCAGGCTCAGAAGTTCTCCGAAGGGGGGGGGGGGGGGGGTGCTTTTCCGCGCAATTTTTTTTTTACGCCGGCAATTATCAGTAGTTTATTTTAGGGGTACATTTTACAGCGTATGTATATCGGCATGTGTACGTCGCTGAGTGCGTTATTTTGTTTACATGCCACTACTAGAAGCTCGTTACATGGCACGTAAACAGCGTCTTGGTAAGGATCATGGCCCGGGGGGGGGGGGGGGGGCACAAGCCCCGATGTCTCCTCCCCCCCCCCCTCCCCTAGTCCACGCCTATGTCCAGAACGGAGATCAAGAAAATCTGGGTACATGGGCGAATTCCGAGTAGCTGTGGGTTCTTGTGGGTAATCGACCCAATTCATGTCGGTTGTGGTAGGTACTCTTTTTTAAACAAACTTGCCTTAGCAGATGCAAAATAAGGAACGTTGTTGACAACAAATAACATAGCAAGCTACATTTATTGCGCTAATATTGAACATAATTGCACGCTAAAAGTCCTCTTTATGACATCCCAGAAAAAAAGTTTGATTTCAGACAAAGCGATAGAGAATGGCTTGAAGAGAGCACTACAACCCCTGGCGGTTGGTTACGATGCAATGCGAGATTCTAACGTAGACCATGGCACTCCGCACGGCACATTAAAAGAGAATAATGGGTGTTCATTGTTTTCCGCAGATATCAGTGGCCTCGACATCACCGCAAGACGCTTTAAGAGGGACAACAAGGTTATCACGCCAATCGGTCTGGGAGACCTAGTGACGACAAACAGAAGACCTCAAGAGGCTGATAGCCGACAGAGAGGTCAAGCCGCAGAGGGAACATAAATGACAGAGGACAACATCTCATGAAGCGTTGATGATGCTCGTCCGATAGGATTCGAGCATCATCAACGCTTCATGATGAGCGGGATTCGTTATCGGAATTTCATCTCACCCGAAAACCAACACCAAAACGTAGTCGATAGGCCACAACCAACCAAGAAAACAAATACTCAACAACGCGCATTCAAAAAAAAAAAAAAAAAAAAAAAAAACGCTCAGAAGGGCCTATTACTGAGGACAATTTCAAAAAGAGAGCAAGCGACTATGACAATAGGGGACGCCCAGCAAGAAAGAAATATGTAGATAATCCAGGAGTGGAAACCGTTGTTGGGCCATGAGGACCCGGATGGCCATGATTGGACACCATGCATATATTGACCAGAAAGAAAGAAATGCCATCTAAAATCACATTGCCAAAAACAAAACAAAACAAAAACAACAACAACAACGAAACAAGCATGGCCACGAGGACATGAACATTAAGAAGAAAAAATGATTCTCTTCATATTCCGCGTGATTAGGTAGACTTGGAGAGGAAGACGTCGACAAGCCATCATAACGGCAGCGGCCATCACTGAAACGTGTGCACACATCCAGAGAAACAAAACTCGCGATTACATATACTCGTCTATGCTTCAGTTGGAATACCCCACAAAAACGGCGATCACGACTGTCCAAGGAATTACACGTGTCTTTGACCAATAAATAAATGCTGACATACCTCTCTGGCTTCGTACACTGTGAACACAACAAACAGAGGCTTCATACTTTTGATGGTGCGGCTCTGTATCGCATAATCGGTGGCCTATGACTGCTCACAATAGCAATGTGTAATGAACGTCATGCCGTGTGACGTCAATTTCCTGATAAATTTAGCAAGAAAAATGACGCCACAGTGTCAAGTCGTGTTGTCACGTAGTACTATGACGTCACATAAAGTTACTTTTCCGATAAATTTATCGAGAAAATAATTAAACAATGTTTTTGTCCAGTCCCCGTTAGGAGTGTTTGACGTTTTTTAAACAAATGTGAACGACCGCTCTTTAAATACCGAATTCAATACATCATAGGACTTAAAAGATAAAAGGTAGCTGCCATTTTTTTTTAGGAAAAGACGCAAATCAGCGGAACCTGGCGAGAGTTTTTGTTGCTCTGTGTATGTCCATGGATGCGCATATATATCCTTTCACCGTCAGTGAATCCACCAAAACCTTGGATATAACGAGCTATTTGTGCAATGATGTTCCATCGCAGGAATGTATCCGGGCGTGGCAGTCTACGACTACGACTACGGCATAGGCATGGGCGTGGCTCCCAACTACTATGGCATGGGCATGGGTATGAGTTCATTAACCCAATAATCCTCAAATAAACGGTGCACAGGAAGAAACGTTTGGAAGCGATAGCTTGAAATGGGGCGGGGGGGGGGGGGGGAGGGTGACCTTGCATGGACCTGGCTTGTTTTTGTTGGTGTTCGTCGCGCCGTAGCAAGGCCATGGAAGAGGGTGTGAGCAACGAAGCCCCTCTGTTCTTTTGATGCCATAGCGCGCGCGACCAATGGTGTTGCGCGCTAGGGGATCTACTAATGATTACATCATGTGCAAGCCTTGTTCTCTAGGTGGTATTGGCTGCCCTCCTTTCCCTTCCCTCCTCCTTCGTGTAGGAACGGGGGCTGGGTAGTGGGAACTGCGTATTAGTTCTATCGCACTTTCACTAAATTTGACGGTATGCCTGAGCCCAGCGATTCCTCGCCCCCCCCCCCTCCCCCCCCCCCCAAACAACCCAATCGCGTGTGTGTCGGCCTGTGCAGTAACGACTTGCCTGGCGTACAGCGTTTCGTGTAGCTCTAACTAGAACCATTACACAAGCTACGCTTTAAAGTAACGACGCTTCATCCATCTTGGTGCTCAAGATCATAGTCGTTAGTTCGTTGAAGCTTTATCTGAAATCGCAGCAAACAGTTTTCTCTCCTTCATCCAAGTTAAAACAGTCAGTGACAAGGGCAAGACAATACCGTGTTAGTTTCCCGATACCGCACCGCCGAAAGCTCAGGAATTCACATTTTGGATGAAGCAAAAACCCATCAAGCAACATTGGCAGTCGCCAATGCTTGGGCACGAAGTCCGTGATTGGATCTGAGTCCTCGCCGAATGCTGACGCAGCCCTCGTGTCCAGTGCACGCTGGGAGTGCGTGCCCAAACAATGGCGAACTCGAATAATTGGCGCATCAACTACTAGATGGCGTGTAGCATTGAAATTGATATACTGCGCTCTCTCTGCACTAAGCCCAAAAATGGCGGCGCCCACAAGAAAATAGGGGAATCGAGGGACCAAACTCTGAGCGTAGCTTCTCGAGTGGCTCTAGTCAGCGTCGGTCAGTCACTAACGCTTCAAACAGGCTTTGGTATCGCCACGTTCGGAAGCGCCATCTCTCGGCGCGGAGTCCGGAGCAAACACCTTTCACTTCAGTGCCTTTGTATAAAGATGTCCGATGTGTAGCACAGTATACGTCGTGCTCCTCGGGGCGTGGATTTATATACCTCAGCATTTATTTCTCGGTGTGACTTCTTGTTTCACCACGCAGGTATGATGCCAGGCATGGGGATGGGCATGGGCATGATGCCAGGCATGGGCGTGATGCCCGGTATGGGCATGGGCGTGATGCCCGGCATGGGTATGGGCATGATGCCCGGCATGGGCATGGGCGGGGGGATGGTGCCGCCAATAATCGGCTGAAGTGGTCAACGCCGAGCCCAGTCTCCCGTCTTCTGCCGGAGACATCGGGCACCTGCTGCGTCCGCAAGACATCGCTGCAAGGGAAGCATCTGCGCCTCCGAAATCGACCATGGAAATAAACGAAAGTGGTTCACAGTTCTCAAAGAATTCTTTTTTTTTTTTTGGAAAAAGGGGGGGGGGGCTGATAAGCGTATCGGTCTTATCACGGAAGCGTCGCTTGACCGTGACGTCATAGCTGCTCTATATAAAATGCTGCGCTCATGAATAAAGGAACTTGTTCACCAGCATGCTATTGTCTACGGTTATATCATTGGGTGACGAGACGGTTTACGGGCCCTCGTAGGGGAGGAAACGCTCAGCTCGTGGCGGGAGGCGCGGAAGGAACCGACCGCAAGGAAAGAGCAAGCGCAGCAATGACATGCGTTTGTAGCCCGCCAGCGATGCTACATGCTCCCAGAGTATGACTTCGCAAGCAAGACACCGCCCACCACCCTCGTACTGCGACTGACGGCAACGAGAAACGCCCCCCCCCCCCCCCTTCCCCCAAATTTCACCTCGTTAACGCACTGGGAAACGCAGCGAAGACAAGGAGCTACGCAAGGGACTGCCGAGCGGATGAGTACCGCGTTCATTTGTGGGCTGTAAATGACACGCTTGGGGAAGATATCAGAGTTTGAGCCCAAGACACAAAATATTGAATCGTATTTGGAATGTTTTGAACATTTTGTAGCGGAAATGACATCAAAAAAGAGAAACTGTTTTTTTTTTACTGTAATAGGCTTTAAGGCTTACGAAGTGCTGAAATGTTTTGTGGCGCCTGCGGCCCCTGGCGTTAAGTCATACGCGGTCGTTAGAAGGCTGCTTCAGGAACATTAGCCCAATTCAGCTGGCTCCCAAGTCTGCCACCGAATCTAGGTTTGTGTTAGATGCCAGCCATCTCACGCCTCACCTTCAGGCGCCTTCGTTTCGCCTTGACCCTCTTCCTAAGGTCCTCCTCCAGGCCCCCCTTCCACCAAATGCATATTTTGTGAAGGTGGACCTGGCGGAGGCCTTTTATCACATTTCCCTGCATCCGCAGGCTCAAAGGCTAACTACCTTCAGGCCTCGACGGAGTATATTACTCCTTTACTAGACTTCCGTTTGGCCTCAGGCCGGCACCCTTCTTGATGCAGTCCCTCGCCACGGCCATGTCTAGAACGCTACGCGCCCAAGGCCTGTGGGCTTGGGCCTACATAGACAACTTTCTTTTAGCACACAGTGATCCTGTGTTTTTGTCCTAAGCTGTCGCCCATTTCATTGCGCAGCTTCATGCATGCGGGTTTTTGCGTGAACCCCCGCGACACTCACTCTCCCTACAAGAGAGATTCGTTTTCTAGGGTTTACTATAAACACCCTGACTCAGACACTCTCTCATACCCCACAGCGCGTCCGGTCCCTAGCGGACACTCTCCAACTTCTCCAGACCCCCCAGCCACGCACCCGCTACCATAAGTTGGCAGGGCTTTGGTGTTTTTCTTTTCCTTGTACCGAGCTGGGTGTCCTGCACTCCGTCCCCTCTTTGACGCGGCCCAGACTGGACAGCCTCCTCCTCTCCAGTGGTGTGTGGTGTTTAAAACAATATGGCATAAACTTCCCCATGTGGTGCCACTGGTCCCTCCCCCCCTGTGCACACCATGTTCGCCGATGCCTCCTCAACTGGACTAGGTGTGGGGACACCAGCCGCCGCCTTGGCCGTCATCACGAACCCCAGCCGCAAGATTTTCTTGCGTGAAGCCCTAGCCTGGCTTCTGGCTGCGCTCCTTGCGCCGCCGTCAAAGCTGATCCACACGGACAATCTCGCCCTAAGGAAGGGCATTACAGCTGGCCACATGCGCTCTCTACCATGGGAACTTTATGTTACCTTTTCTTTTGTCACAACAAAGGACAATCTGCGTGCCAGATGGATCCCGACGGACCTCAACCCTGCCGATATGCCCTCACGTCTTCCTCACACATTCCGCCCATTCGCTTCTGCGATTGGCTGAGGGCATGGCGGCGGGGGAGAGGGGGTGTCTCAATATAAAGGACTGCTACAAAGAACGGCTACAGACAACGCCGGCTTCGCTCCATGCATGGGACAGTTCATGCTTTCGCATCAAAAACGGTCTACAGGCATGTTTTTAGCATATAGACATGTGCAAACATGCTTGAAACATGTCTGATGCATGCATGCAGCTAACTCTGTCGTCACGTCTGCAGCGAACATCCCTTGTCTTTTGTATCTTGTATACGAGCGGTGTGAACCATGGCTTCATAGAGTTTTGACAAAGATTTACTTGGCGTCAACGTCTCTGTGCCACCTACGTTGTCAAGGCCATATTTGGCCCCTGACAGCTTAAGGAACACAGGGTGTGGTAAGGTCTAAACGTATCGCAATCGTTTCGCAGCTAATTGGAACGCGTCATTGCCATCCCATAAGGAGGTCAAGAATGGATCACGTGACAAGAAGCGCGAGCATGTTAACCCACACCATCCGCTTCTTGAGCTGCAGCAGTGACCATATATGCCAGTCTTGTACACGTTACTAAAAAAAGTAATCGATTGCAATTACAGTTACTCTTGATGAAAAATATTCAATTACATGACGCGACTACTTTACGACAAGGGAATTGGCCGTTACTTTGAAAGAGGTAACCGTCACATTTCGCGATTGCTTCAATTTTTTAAAACAACAGATTTTGCTGCCGGTTTGCAAACTGTCCATTATTGCATTAAAATCGCCGAGTTATCAGCTACTTTATCTTCTTAATTCACCAATTTTGACAAAAACATCTTCCTCTAGGAGACTTTGTTCGAGGGTTTCTTGGTAGAAAACTCGCAGAAACAAAGGGCGCCACTACAAAAGGGAAGGGAAAAATTGTAACTGTTACAAGCAATTTGTGTATTCACAAAATTAATCAGACTATTCTTGGGATTACTTCATAATAGAGACAGTCAAATGATTACAAACTTACTCCCAGAAGTAATCGATTATAACTAATTTGATTATTTGAAATGAGTACCGTACAGGTCTTTTATGCGGAGCGCAAGGTCGTCTGCTTCTTTTGCAGCGGTTGTGGTGACGTCAGAAGGCCGAGCTCTGATTGGCTCTGATTGATGGACTGTGGGTAGACCTCAAAGCAAGCTGCCTTGAGGTCTTCCCAGGTTTCTGTGGCCACCCAAGGTTAGCCCTTGCCACCTAAGAGGGTGAAAAAGGAAGGAAGAGAGTGTAAAAGTAAGGGAAAAAAGAGGTGGGGAAAAAAGTGGAAGAAGGAAGAATAGGGTAGAAGAGGGCGACTGACTGAATCATCTTGGTCGGGCCAAGCCAGGAGACCCGTTTACGGGAAGGAGGGGTCCGAGGCGGTATATCGCCCCGCCCGGGGGACCCCGAAGGGTCCAAATGTACCCCGGGCTCAGCTCAACCGCCAGGATCCACTTTTCCCCCGGCCACGCACAGCCAGGCGTGAGGAGGCGAACCCATATGGCTCGGGGTTTGTAGTGACGCCCCTCACCAAGCACCTACTGAAGTAGGTGCCTTCTGCGTGCGGGTATGGTGGCCCGCGTGGCTGGGGTCTGTGGTGACGCTAGTCACCAAGCACCTAGCACGTAAGCTGCAGGCACCCCCTGCGGGACTCAAGGTCCGTGGAGACGCCACTTTCCAAACACCTGCTTTCACAGGTGCCCCCTGCGAGGTGTTGTTGCATTGGCTGAAGGGGCTGCCAACTCGGTCGGCAGGCGGAGCGAAGTGCGATATACGAGGTGGGCTTTGAAACCGGCGAGGCCTTCTTTGATGCCCACACGGATGCAGAGAAGGACATTGGGAGAATCTCCAACCCACGAGTTGGATATTGTTGGGACATAAGTGAGGCCTTCAGTTGGCTGTAAAATTTCTAGACGAGACCATCGGCTTGCGGATAGCAGGCAGTCGTGCGCATATGTGCCGTTCTCAGCAGATCAGGGATAAGTCGAAAGAGCGACGACTTGAACTGTCGGCCCCTGTCTCCAGTAACCTCGACAGGTGCTCCGAAGAGTGCAACCCAGGTGTCGACGAAAGCTGATTTAACAACCTCGACTGTGATGTTTTGGATGGGTGTCGCTTTCTTTCACCGGGTAAACCGATCAACAACAGTGGTGAGATATCGATGCCCTTTCCATGGTGTTAGAGGTCCTACGGTATCGACGTGAACCTTCTCGAAACGGTGGTCGGGAGGGATAAACTTGGCAAGGGGAGTTGTAGTGTGTCGGTTTATTTTGGCACGCTGGTGAGACAAACATGATGAAGCCCACTTTGAGATGGCACGCTGGTGAGACAAACATGATTAAGCCCACTTTGAGATGTCATGATATTCTGCAGGGGAAACTTAGTTACTATGGTATTTATGGACATGTTTTATTACTTTTGAAGTCCTATTTATCAAACCGAAAACAGGTTGTTCAGATAAACAACATGTGTTCTAAGGCTCTATCCGTGACTTGTGGTGTACCACAAGGTAGTTATTAGGGCCACTGCTATTTAATATTTATCTTAATGATATTGTAAAAATTAACCCTAGTGCCCAATTCATTATCTACGCTGATGACACTAGTATTTTCTTTGCCGGCACTGATATTCATGAATTGGTAGATGCATGTAATCACACAATGAAAGCACTGGAGAACTGGTCAAAATCTAATTCCATGCAAATAAACGAATTAAAAACAAAAGCAGTAATATTTAGACCGAAAAATAAGCCAATTCCAGTGCATAGAGGTATTTACCTCAATTCCCGTCCAATCGAAATTGTGGAGCAATTTAAATGTCTCGCTGTCGTGTTTTCCGCAAATATGTCGTGGGATATTCATATAAACTATTTAGTAGGCAAAATAGCTCAGATAACTGGAATAATAGGTCGTGTTAGATACCTTCTTCACACAAGAATCAAGTTACTTCTGTATAATTCACTCTTTTATTCCCATTTGAATTACTGTCAACTAGTGTGGGGGATAACCACATTTTCAGACTTACAACGCGTTTATTTGGTACAAAAAAAAAGTCTTTGACATATTTACAACGCGCCCTACAGAGCGTCATGTGCAAACTTTTTTTTTTATCGTTCCCACGTGAT